ATGATTGCTGTCAGTTTTTTAATTCTGTTATATTTTTAAAATTTTTTCCTGAATAGCTTGAATTTCTCAGGAAGGAAAGGTGGATTATGTTTGTTCTGAGCTCCTGCATTTCTAAGACGCTTCTTTATTGTCTCCATATGAGAAGATCAGTGTAGTTGGCTATGGAATTTTTGAATCACATTTTACTCCATATAGTGAAGATTTTGGTTATGGTATTCTGTCCTTTGGAATTTTACAGCAGAAGCTTAGAAGTAGCCTACTTTCTCTCTCTGCACATACTTACTTGCTTTTTGTTTATTTTTAAATTTCCTTATACGCTTCAGAATTTTAATCTTTACCCTTGATATTCTAAAATCTCACTGAGATTGTTGTTGTTAAGTATCGTGGAGTTGGTTCTGACTCATAGTGACACTGCATAGGGTTTCCAAGGCTGTAAATCTTTATGGGAGCAGAAAGCCTCATCTTTCTCCCGCGGAACAGCTGGTAGTTTCGAACTGCTTACCTTGAGATTAGAAACCCAATTCACAACCACTACGCTACCAGAGCTCCTTTTATCCACATTTTAGGCACTTTTAATTAACTTGTTTTTTTGTGTCTTATATAAATTTAAACCAGCAATCTGAAGTCTTTATCCTATTTTTCTAACAATAGCCATTCTTTTGTTCTAACTGTATTGTTTGTTTTAGTTGATTCCTAGTATAACTAGCTTTTTAAAAAAATGTCTTAAGTGTGTATTTTCCTTGCCATTTCAGTTTTCAGAAATTTTATACACCTACACTGCACACGTCAACTATCTCATTATCCAGCATTTCACATTTACACATAGTAAAAAAAAATCTTCCTGTTTTGCACATTAACGAATCTGCTGGCACCCTTGCAGTGTGCAGCTCATCCAAGGCATGTAGAGTGAGTGAGGGATGGTGTGTTTCCTCAGGGTCTTTACTCCTGGTGTGCCTGATGCACTTACTTCTCCTGGTTCATTTTTCCCTTTCCTCTTCCCAGTTATCAGCAAACTTTACGACTCTGCCCCCACTTGCCTCCTTCAGGCATCCAGTCCGCCAGCAGCAGAATGTGGGCAGGCAGCGCTCACCTCTGCAGAGTCTCCTCTTGGCCAAGGCTGTTGAGAAGTGCCTAGCCCATGTCTCATCAGTTCCTATATGAGTGTAACGTGGAGCCTGAGCTTGGGATGTTGGGTGACTGTGGATGCCTGGCTAGCAGTCCATAGCAAGATTCAGAGGCCAGCAGAGTGATGCTGAGCTCATGGCCGTGACAGGTGCAGATGGGCTGTAGCCAAGCAGATGGGAGGGTTGGATCCAGGAAGAATAGGAGGCCACAGTGAGAATCTTGACTATTCCACACAATGACCTGGTCTTTGGGACCTAATGTGTTGTCGGTAAGTGAAGTCTGGGTGCATTTCATTTCATTTGGTTGCCTCTGCTGCCATTTTTAATACCAAAAATAAATTTTAACATTTTGATAAGTTGAGTAATGACTTTCCAAAGTTGTCCACCACTTAATCCCTGGAACTTGTAAATATGTTACCTTACATGGCAAAAGGAACTTTGCAGATGTGATTAAGTAAAGGATCTTGAAAGAGGGTGATTATCTTAGATTATCTAGATACGCTCAGTGTAATCACAAGGGTCCTTGAAAATAGATAATGGAGGCTGAAGAGTCAGTGTCAGAGTAATCTGTTAAGAAAAGAACTTGACTGGGTTTTCAGATGAAAGGAGGTTTGAGCCAAGACATATGGGGTAGGTGTCCTTTTAAAACCTGGAAAAGTTGCCCTTAGAATCTTGGGAAAGAAACTCAGCCCCAACATCTTGATTTTAGTTCAGTGAGATTCATGTTGGACTTTTTTTTTTTTTTTTTAATGTTTTGTGAATTATGTTAGTTTACATGGGAGAACATTAGTTTTACATTCATCCTATCGTATATCGTTTCATTGCCATGGTTACAATCTCCTCTATGCATCATTAACCAACCAAAGGGTATGCCCTGCAAGCCTGCTCCCTGATCGTCGGTACACAGTCCCTCTCCCTCTCTGGGTCTTAAGTCCCCAGCTGCTCCATCTCTCCATGTAGTCGTCTCTGCCTCCATCTCTGATGTCACTGCTTCTCTGGGTAAGGTCCTGCTCTCCGCTCTTCTCCCTTAATGGTTCCAGAGACCTCCGCTATTCAACTGCAAAGTTAATCACTCCACTCAATGCTACAAAACATCTGCCTTTACATTTCCAACCCTCACAATCAGTTCTGTTAACAATTATTCACTATTGTATCACAAAAGACCTATCTGCATTTCCTTTCATCAGTGTCCCACCTAGGCCTAGACAGATTGGATACTACTCAATGGAGATTCTACCTTCCTCCACGCCCTCTGGATCTAGGTTCCCTCTTGAAAGCTTGTAAGCCAGTCACTTCTTGCCTTTGTAGCCCCCCAACTTTGGGTAGCCAATGTCCAAGTTGACCATCCCTGTCTACTTTGTGTATGGAGGGGGGTGGGAATGAACCTTGCTGTAAAGACTTGTTCCTTTTTGTGAGCTACTGCATTCGTAGGTGTAGGTCAAGTTCATCAAATTGTATCATATTACTCCTTTTTTCCCTCTTCTTTCTTCTAGTTGAGCTCTGATCATCCAGCCATTGAAGCCAGGTCAAGTGGGTATCATCTGCAAGTGTGGGTGTTCTTGTGCATATGCCCTCTCTTCTTATCAGCTGGATGCTTCATTCTCCACTCTAGTCCTCTGCGGCAATCATGTTGGACTTTTGACTTCCAGAATTAAAAAAATAGATTTTTGTTCTTGTAAGCCACTAAATTTGTGATGATTTGTTAGAGTAGCAATAGGAAACGAATACAGATCTCTATGCCATTTTTACAGATTTTCTTCTCTTCATAATGACTTGATCTATTTTCAGTGATAGTATCCCAACAAAAAACATTGAAAACACAATAGAAAATTTTGGTAATCTAATATTTTTCTTTTTCCCTTCTCTTTCTTTCGTATGCTTCCAAGGAAAGCATTTTCGCTCACTTCTTAGAGTGGTTATCTCCATTGAGATTGTATTTTGCCCTACTGTGTCTGGTTTTTTGTTTTTTTTTTCTCTTTGCTCATGATAGCTTATGACAATATTTTCGGTTTATAATCCAAGAGTAGTTTAATTAGATTCTCCTAAAACTCGGTAAGAGTTTCTGTCTAAGCCCTTTGGTAGTGGCCCTCTTCCACTTATTCTTCAATCTTATTATTTTCTGCAGATATCAGAATAGTTTCAATTCAGCTTTCTCACACTAAATCTAGCTTGATTTTTTTCTTCAGTGCTTTTTCAGCTTGAGAAATGCTGACTGTGTTCTTTTCTTTTGTTTTTCTAACTCCAGGTCTTTGCCCCTTTCATTGTAATATTTTATTTTGTTTTTTTTTAGCTGCCCTTTGAAGAGTTCTTTTCACTTCTTTTATGTCATCATTTCTTCCATTTGCCTTAGTTTCTCTATGCTCCTGAGCAAGTTTCAGAGTCTCTTCTGATATCCACTTTGATATTTTCCTTTTTCCTGTATTTTTAATGGTCTTTTGCTTTCTTCCTGTATGATGTTTTAGATGTTATCCCACAATTCTTCTGATCTTTTATCATTAGTGTCTAATGCATCAAATCTGTTCTTGAGATGGTGGTCTTTAAATTCAGGTAGAACATATTCATTTTTTGGCTCTTGTGGACTTGTGTAAATTTGCTTTAGTTTCAGCCTAAACTTTTCCAGCAGCTGATGATCCTGTAATTGGCCTCTGACCTTGTTTTGACTGATGATATATTGAACTCTTTCATCTGGTGAGGTCCATAGGCATGGTTGTCTTTTATGTTGCAGTGAATGAATCATTGACCTTGCGAGATTCTAATCATGTGATCTCCAGCATCATTTCTATCACTAAGACCATATTTTCCAACTAGGGATCCTTCTTCTTTGTTTCCTACATTCACATTGCAATCACCAGTAATTATCAATTCATTGCCTACCTGATAAATTTCAGACTGAGGAAGTTGGTAAATCTTCAGTTTCATCATCACTGGCTTTAATGGTTTGTTTATCAATTTGAGTAATAGTGATATTAACAGGTCTTCCTTGTAGGCATGTGGATATTATCCTATCATGGACAGAATCGTACTTCAAAATAGATCTTGAAATGTTCTTTTAGATGATGAATGTGATGTCACAGTAAAGAGATTGTAAAGTATTATTAATAACATTACATATTAACACCGTGGTCTGTGTCAAGAGACAACCACTCTTTGGAGGTTGCTTTTGGTAACACATTTCTTATGCCTTCCAAAATGAAAAACGTCTTCAATTGTCATAGATTCGTGGATGAAACTATTCTACGGGTAAAGAGCCATGGGAGTAGACAGTACTGACCACAGGAATGTTGAGTAGTAAATGTTGGCTTTAGGCAAAGAATCTTTGGTGCATGGTGACTTCTTTAAAATGTTGAGAACTGATGGTCCTTGTGGGGACCTGCATTACAAAATAAATGTCACAGATAGAACATACTATGTGAGAATAGAAATGCAGAATAACAGGGCAATAATACCCTATCTATAAACCAACTGTGCTTTTAATCCCCTAAATAACAGGTCAAAATAGATTTCACTATTGCAAATATTCCAATTACAGTGTCCTGCAAAATTTTTGTCTATCTTAGTATTTTCAGTAAGATTTCTGGGTCATGTGGCTTTTCTAGTGAACTTCAATGAAGTGCAACCACCAACCAAAGACCTTGTCATTTATTTAACTCCCACTGTCTTTAATCTTTAGGACAGTAATCCTGTGAGAAACTTTGGGATTTCTGCATAATCATAGAATGGTATGCAGGCTCATGTATTCAAGTTCTTTGCTTTTTATTTTTCTGCCACATTCACTCTAGCTATATGTCTAAATTCAGAGCTGTGGTTCCTTTTAGTTTTTCTTCTGGTGTGTTTATTTTTCTGTATTTTCATCATTTTTCTTCCTTTCTTTTTTAGTTCACAGCCATGAATGAACCACAGTGCTTCTACAATGAGTCTATTGCCTTCTTTTATAACCGGAGTGGAAAATACCTTGCTACAGAGTGGAACACAGTCAGCAAGCTGGTGATGGGACTTGGAATCACTGTCTGTATCTTCATCATGTTGGCCAACCTACTGGTCATGGTGGCAATCTACGTCAACCGTCGCTTCCATTTTCCTATTTATTACTTAATGGCTAATCTGGCTGCTGCAGACTTCTTTGCTGGGTTGGCTTACTTCTACCTAATGTTCAACACAGGACCCAATACTCGGAGACTGACCGTCAGCACTTGGCTCCTTCGTCAGGGCCTCATTGACACCAGCCTGACCGCATCTGTGGCCAACTTACTGGCTATAGCCATCGAGAGGCACATTACGGTTTTCCGCATGCAGCTCCACACACGGATGAGCAACCGGCGGGTGGTGGTAGTCATTGTGGTCATTTGGACTATGGCCATTGTTATGGGTGCTATACCCAGTGTGGGCTGGAACTGTATCTGCGACATTGAAAACTGTTCCAACATGGCTCCCCTCTACAGTGACTCTTATTTAGTCTTCTGGGCCATTTTCAACTTAGTGACCTTCGTGGTAATGGTGGTTCTGTATGCTCATATCTTTGGCTATGTTCGCCAGAGGACTATGAGAATGTCTCGGCATAGTTCTGGACCCCGGCGGAATCGAGACACCATGATGAGTCTTCTGAAGACAGTGGTCATTGTGCTTGGTAAGTATTATCTTGATTGTAATTTACTTTATGGATTCCTGATATTTTTAATACAAACTGCATTAGCTTGTTATTATGGAAAATAATAATCTGAGTATTCACCATATAAACATATATGCTGGAAATGCAAGGGTATAAGACGTCTTCATAGCATATGTCTTTGAAGACAGTGGTAAATCAGCCTTTATAAATTACAGAGTTGGTTGTAAGGAAATAGGTGCCTTAGTGGTACAGTATTCATGATGATGATGTGAAAGATGTCACTGAACAGTTTGATTATGTAATACAGAAAAATTCCAGAATAATCGATCAAGATTTTTTAGCTTTATTAGGTTTCCTTACTACCTAAATTGTTGGGCTTTTGTCTTATAGTCTCTATTATAGATTTATAGGTAGAAGGTGCTTGTATATAATATGAATATATTTTCATTTATAGGTATTTTTAAACATGTTATTAACATTCTATAGTCCTTAGTGCATAGTTGGTAAGTATATTAAAATATTGTATAGAGTGAGTGCATACAATAGGATATTGGAATTGATAACATTCTGTGACAGCCACCCAAACAATTTTTCATCATTTTTCTGGATGTGGTAATGTTATTAGTGCGTTGAGTTGGTTCTGACTTGTAGTGACCCTGTATAGGGTTTCTGAGGATCAGCTGGTGGATTTGAACTGCCAGCCTTGTGGTTCACAGTCCAGTGCTTATCCTAAAGCATTAATTCATATTTGAAAGTGAAGAACAAGCTTTTATGCCTTATGTACATTTTAAATACTTTTTTCCCTTTCAGTATTGTTATGCCTAGATGAGAACTTCATGGTAGTGCTCAGTAAGAACAATATTATGTTTGTTTATTTGTTTAATGAAGAGTTAATGAATATCTAACAAGTTCAAAGTCCTGTATAGGTCCCTAGAGATATAACCATTAATGGGATAGATTCATATCATTCATCTTAACACTTAGAGTAGGGTTGCTGTTTTAAATACTCACACAATGTGACTGTTTAAAGAATTATCCTATTATATATTCAGTGACTACATTCAAGTTAATGCTTGATCATATTTTTCAATCTATTGGAAATTCAATAGAAAGCTCCTGTGTTTCTCTTTACTCTAAATGATAAATTAGTGTTTAGTGACTATAACCTGGGATTGTGTGACTCTTCTGACACTCAGGAGCTACATTAATTGTAGCCACACTGGAGAGTGATAGCTTCCTAATTATCACTAACTAAATTAGGATTCTGGCTGATCCACACTAGTCTCTTTTATTTTGGTTACAGTGAATGCATCATAGAGACTCTTTCTGGTGGTAAAGAGCCTCTTGTGGATCCATGAGAATGAGGACTAGGACTTGGAATCACTGATCCAACTAGAGCCCTGCTTGTAGCTAATGGCATAGCTAGAAAATATTCCCGCTGTGTGCCCCACTACAGCCAGCCAATTGTGAGGTTGTCTTATCTAGCTAAAGAAATTTAGCAGAATTATAAAACTGGTGTCCCTGTATACTTAATATCAACCAACCCCACAAGAACATATTGAATTAACTATACTCATCCCACATATGGATGAAATACAAATTCGTTTACCATAGATACTGTTTTGATTAAATAGCAGATTTTTTTTTATTTTATTTCTGTGCTGATTGAAATGTCCTTTTTTTTCAGTGATGATCTGAATGTTGGTTGACACGTTTTATATGAGGATGTTTTTTTGATTGCATCAAGTACTGCTTATAATTGGTAGACCCTCCAGCAGTAAAGGACTACTGAGCATGGCCTGTGAGCCCTGCCAAGTTCTTGTTTTGGCTTTGATCTTTGTGTAATGCCTACCATAGTCTCTAGTACAGTATACTTAATGATTCATGTAAAATGAACTTTTGTGCCTTAATGGGCTGTTTAAAGATTAATGAGATCATTATTTGAGGGTTTATTAGGGCAACACTTTGAGTATACAGTTGCCCTAGATGCCTACCCCTTCATATCAACCCTAAATAGCGCTGCCCTTTGAGACTTAAACTAGTAGACGCCACAAACATTGAATGACATTAACTACTTCTCGGACTAATAACATGATTTGGGTAAAAGAAGTTTTGAACATAAAAAATTCTGCTCTACAGTATAGTATGTGAAGAAATTGATGAAGGAAGATAGGAATGTGATTATAACATAGGAAACAGAAATTCAATAAATTAATTAAAATAACATGCTTAGCTGTTAACCAGAAGGATGGAGGTTCAAGTCTCACTTAGAGTGATTTGGAAGAAATGCCTAGTAAGCTACTTCTAAAAAATCAGTCTTTGAAAACCTATGCAGCAGAGATCTACTTTGATATACACGGAACTGTTATGAGTTGGCATCAACTCAATGGCACCTTGTTTTGGTATGGCCTTTTTGAGGAAGAGAGTGAAAATGGGAATGTGAGAGGACTTGGAAAACAGAGAGAAGGGAATTCACAATCTTAAACAGTTATATGATTGCAGGAAGTAGCTAGCATGGCCGAGGCAGTGTGCCATAGTCCTCAAACTTAGCCCGTTAGATGCTGTGTTATTATACACATCATGAGGCGACACCTGATGCCTGATGTACTCTTTTGCTTGGATTGTATGCTTCCATCCCTATGTACCTCTGATTACATGGAGGGAATTTGTTGACCTTACAAGAACTGGAATTCTGCACCAAGTGACTGGCTTACAAGTTTTCAAAAGGGAGTTTAGTTTCAGAGTGTGCAGGGGAAGGTAGAATCCCCACTGAATAGTTTTCATCTTGTCTAGACAGGTCTGGTGAAAGGAGATGGGGATAAGATTCTTATGATTCAGTGGTGAGTAACTGGTATCATGACTAATTGCAATTGTCAAAACTGTAAAGGCAGAAGTTTTGTAATATAAAGGGTGGAGTAGTTAATGTTATAGTTCAGGAACAGAGGAGCCTAGGACCATCGAGGGAGAGGAGCATGAGCAGAATATGGGACCCTAACCAGACAAGCAGCGATACCAGAGATGGAGGCAAAGATGGTAACATAGAGAGAGAGAGAGAAAGGGTGAGGGAGAGAGGGAGAGGGAGAGAGAGAGAGATGAGATGGAAAGAGGCTGTGTGCTGGCTTGCAGAATGTGCCCTCTGGTTGTTTAAATGATTATATATTCCTGAGTGTTTTGGTGTACATCCAAAAAACCCCAGAGGGAATAGAAACAAATGCTGTTGAATGATGATGTGTGAAGGAGATTGTAATCATTGCAATGAAACAAAACATGATAGGATGAGTGTAAACTGATGTTTGCCCACTATCATTGTGAACTATCATTCAATTCACAATAAAAACTTAAAAATGAAAAGAACCAAAATCCCAGTCAACTCAAAGCTTACTCTATCATTTACTCTATCACTGTAAATTAGTTTATTGGCAATCTGTTTTTTCAACTTTTAATTATTAATCATTTTTATTTACCAGAGTGTCAGCTTTGTGAGACTAGGCAGGGACTATCACGGTTTGTCAGTTTCTTCTCAATGTGTGTCATAACATTTGACACAAAGTAGGTGCTCAATTAATAATTGTTGAATGAATGAATGTGATGACAAAACCAAATGTTTAACCCTTAAATGCTGAGGACCAAAGCACAAGTGAATTCACTGCGGTAAATGCCACTTTATTTATTTATTTATTTTTAGCTATCTGCCAGTCAACAAATCCCGGCTTTACTCCTACCCTATTCCATACCTTCCTATCAAAATACAACTACTTTTAAAGTGACTGACCACAATGGGTGCTCAGTAAATAAAGTTTTACTTTGATTTATTATGGTGCTGATGATGGTTTGATTAGCTGTTAAATTTTCAGTTTCCATTTTTATTGCCTCAAAAACGACCTCTGGGTTTTAGACTTGTTCAGAGAAGGATTTGCTGGGTAACAAGTCAAATTCCTAGGCGTCGACTTAAAAATGAAGGCATCTTTGACTTCGGATAGCAGTTTCAGTAGCAATTTTTAAGCATGAGGCTGTATATAAAGTGCCCTTTGGTGTAAATCTTAGTGTGTATTTTCCTTTGTCAAATACTTAATTAGTAATCATGCAGCAGTGCTACTCAAAGCATTTTAGAAATTACTATTCATAGCGATCCTGAATAGGGTTTCTAAGGAGTGGCTGGTGGGTTTGAACTGCTAACCTTTCAGTTAGGACTCCCTATGAAAATCATTATCTATTTGTCATCCTCATTTTACACAGGTGAAAACTGAGGGGCAGAGCAGTTAGGTAAATTGCTTAAGGTCACACAGCTAGCAACTACAAAAGTTGGAATTCTAACTCAAGGACTCAGGTTTTGGAACCCAACCTTTTCACCTCACAATATGCTGGTTTTCTTTAATAAAAACCAGCAGCAGCACATGCTGTCTTTTGTTATAAAATTTGAACAGCCCTGTACTATTAAAACAGTGTGATCCCATTGTTTCCATATTGCCTAGCAGTGCTTTATTTCCATGGTCAGAAGAAGGTTTGGAAACAGCATTCCTTTCCTCTTTTTGCTTTTGATGACGCGCATTTGCCCTTTCCCGCTGTTTGGTTTCTAGAGTACCAGTAATTGCCTCTGATGGAGGGAGTGTTCTGTTCAAGGTGTTGTTAACTTGAGGGTTCATTGTCCCAGTGTGAAGTCATGTAATCCTTCCCAGGCTTGATATTTTACCAAGAATTCCTTTTGAGCTGTGGAATCACAGTGGCAGTCAAGACATTCTTCCTTATTTGACCACAGTCTGTCTTAAGTTATAAGCCTATTTCTTTCCGACTCTGTTCTTTATGATGCTGTAGATAATTAGGAAAGAAGAAAACCAGGCTTTGGAAAGGGAAAATAATGGTTAAGGTGTGGTGATTTTTACATCCGAGCCTGAGAGAGAGTGGGGAAATAAAGCAAAATAAAGTCATATGGGACTTATCTCTTAGGAGTACAGGAGACACCTTTCTTTCTTTCTAATTTGATCTGTGCTGGCCCATGAGTCTGAATTGCCCTGTATACG